GATAGAGGAAATGCTTCACCAAACCTGAGCGTCTGCTCACCATGGAGGTGCGGCTCAAAACGGCGTCTGTTCTCCATGTTAGGAGCGGCTGATCACCGTCCTAGTGCCAGCGTGGGACTCTAAACAGAGCTGTGCACGATGGTCCCCCGGCGAGACAGGGGGTTGGGGCAGGCCCAACAAGCCGCCCTGGAAAAAAACAAAGTTGCAAATACCGAAGAAAGAAATACGGATCGGAACAATCGGCACAGACCTACGCGACGAAATAAGGACTACGATTGGAAACTCGGAACATGGAACTGCAAATCGCTCGGCTTCCCGGGTTGCGATAGGTTAATCTATGACGAACTTCAACCACGCAACTTCGAAGTCGTAGCACTGCAGGAACTTTGCTGGACGGGACAAAAGGTATGGAAAAGCGGGCATCGAGCGGCTACTTTCTACCAGAGCTGTGGCACCACCAACGAGCTGGGAACCGGCTTTGTAGTGCTGGGTAAGATGCGCCAACGCGTGATTGGTTGGCAGCCGATCAACGCGAGGATGTGCAAGTTGAGGATTAAGGGCCGTTTCTTCAACTACAGCATCATCAACGTGCACTGCCCACACGAAGGGAGACCCGACGACGAAAAAGAAGCGTTCTATGCGCAGCTGGAGCAGGTGTACGACGGCTGTTCGCAACGGGACGTCAAAATCGTCATCGGCGACATGAACGCTCAGGTAGGACGGGAGGCAATGTATAGACCGGCAATCGGGCCAAACAGCCTGCATGCCGTATCGAACGACAACGGCCAACGATGCGTGAACTTTGCAGCCTCCCGGGGTATGGTAGTTCGAAGTACCTTTTTCCCCCGCAAGGATATCCACAAAGCCACCTGGAGATCACCTGACCAACACACAGAAAACCAAATCGATCACGTTCTAATCGACGGGAAATTCTTCTCCGACATTATCAACGTCCGCACGTACCGCAGTGCGAACATAGATTCGGACCACTACCTAGTTTCAGTATGCATGCGCTCAAAACTTTCGACGGTTCATAACACCCGTCGAAGTCGAACGCCGCGACCCAACATTGAGCAACTACGGGACGCCGGAGTTGCCCAGGACTACGCGCAGCAGCTGGAAGTTGCACTACCCACGGAAGAGCAGCTTGGCGCAGCTTCTCTTGAAGATGGCTGGAGGGACATCCGTTCAGCCATAGGTAGTACTGCTGTAGCGGCACTAGGTACTGCAATCCCGGACCGAAGAAATGACTGGTTTGACGGCGAATGCAAACTGTTAGTAGAGGAGAAGAATGCAGCACGGGCGAGAATGCTGCAACACCGCACGAGATTGAATGTGGAGGATACAGACAAGCGCGGAACAGACAAAACTCGGTTTTCCGAAGGAAGAAGCGTCAGCAGGAAGATCGAGATCGCGAGGCGATGGAAAATCTGTACCGCGTAAACGACACACGGAAGTAATACGAGAAGCTAAATAGTTCGCGCAAAGGCTACGTGCCGCAAGCCGATATGTGCAAGGACTTGGACGGTAACCTTCTCACGAACGAGTGTGAGGTGATTGAGAGGTGGAAGCAATACTATGACGAGCACCTCAACGGTGAAGCAGCAGAAAACGAAGGTGGCACGGCAACAGACCTTGGAGCACGCGCAGAAGACGACAGGCTACCGGCCCCTGATCTTCAAGAAGTTGAGGAGGAGATCGGTCGGCTGAAGAACAACAAAGCAACTGGTGTAGATCAACTACCAAGTGAGCTATTGAAATACGGTGGTGAAGCACTGGCTAGAGCGCTGCACTGGGTAATTGCCAAGATTTGGGAGGAGGAGATATTACCGGAGGAGTGGATGGAAGGTGTCGTATGCCCAATCTACAAAAAGGGCGACAAGTTGGATTGCTGCAACTACCGCGCGATCACACTGCTGAGCGCCGCCTACAAGGTACTCTCCCAAATTCTATGCCGCCGTCTGTCACCATATGCAAGAGAGTTCGTGGGGCAATACCAGGCGGGATTCATGGGTGCCCGCGCTACCACGGACCAAATTTTCGCGATTCGGCAGGTTCTGCAGAAATGCCGCGAATACAACGTGCCCACACATCATTTGTTCATCGATTTCAAATCCGCATACGACACAATCGATCGAGATCAGCTATGGCAGATTATGCACGAGTACGGATTTCCGGATAAACTGACGCGATTGGTCAAGGCGACGATGGATCGAGTGACGAGCGTTGTTCGAGTATCGGGGACATTCTCGAGTCCCTTTGAATCTCGAAGGGGGTTACGGCAGGGTGATGGACTTTCGTGTCTGCTGTTCAACATCGCGTTAGAAGGTGTGATCAGAAGAGCTGGGATAGACACGAGTGGCACGATATTCAGGAAGTCCATCCAGCTCCTTGGTTTCGCCGATGACATTGACATTATGGCACGGAACTTTGAGATGATGGCGGAAACGTACATCAGACTGAAGGCTGAAGCTAGACGGATTGGACTTGCCATCAACGCATCAAAGACAAAATATATGAAAGCAAGAGGTACTAGGGAAGACAATGTTAGCCTCCCACCCCGAGTTCAGATTGACGGTGACGAAATCGAGGTGGTCGATGAGTTCGTGTATTTGGGCTCACTGGTGACCGCCGAAAATGATACCAGCAGAGAAATTCAAAGACGCATTATGGCAGGGAATCGTGCCTACTTTGGACTCCGGAGGACGCTCCGGTCGAATAAAATTCGCCGCCGCACGAAGTTGACTGTCTACAAGACGCTGATTAGACCGGTGGTCCTTTACGGCCACGAGACCTGGACTATGCTCGTGGAGGACCAACGCGCCCTTGGTGTTTTCGAACGGAAGGTGTTGCGTAGCATCTACGGTGGAGTGCAGATGGATGACGGAACGTGGAGGAGGCGAATGAACCACGAATTGCACCAGCTGCTGGGAGAACCATCCATCGTCCACATTGCAAAAATTGGGCGACTACGGTGGGCTGGGCACGTCGTAAGAATGCCGCACGACGACCCAGTGAAAATGGTTCTAGAAAGCGACCCAACAGGAACAAGAAGAAGAGGCGCGCAGCGGGCAAGGTGGATCGACCAAGTAGAAGGTGACCTGCGGACCCTTCGCAGACTACGAGGCTGGCGAACTGTGGCCATGGATCGAGTAGAGTGGAGACGACTTCTTCGGACAGCAGAGGACAACAAGGCCTTAGCCTGATTGGTAAGGTAAGTATGGTAACCAATAAACAACTAGGAGGGTATAAATAGTGAATTTTCACCTAGTTCTAGTTAGTTCTAATCCAACCATCAAGCTGTGTTTACAGTAATAAACTTCGTTTAAATCAATCCTGTCTTTCTCTGCTACGAGCAATACCTACAAGATAAGCAAAATAGAATTTTTCGGCTATTGAAACGATGTGAATTCCAGCTTTTGTTCAGAAAATGGCTTGAACGATGCTGGAAAAGCTTCGAAAGGGGTCGCATTGGCGTAGATTTTCATCTGCTTCTCTGTGCCGATTGGCTGCTGTTGCTGCTGTTATTGTTTTGGAAGTGGGTTTTGTTCGTATTCCTCCGTTTCAAAACGTTGAATGTGAATTAACTGTAGGTAGGTGGACAAGTGCGATTTGTTCTCGTAAAATAATCACTGGAATCGTTTTCAGATGTCCACCGAGGCGAACTTGAAATCTTTGTGGGAAATCACTGGCATACATAGGAAATATCTTCCCTGTTGGTTAAAAACCAATTAACATCAGATTCCCAATTCCAGCTCCGAAGGAAACGCTGCCAACCACTACCCCAGAATGTTCAGCCAGAGCATCAACATAGTGGACACTGCTGAAATCGAAGAGGAGGAGGACGATGAAGACATAGCTCCCAATATTTCCGGTGAGTACGAGCCTCATCCGGACTTCAAACCCATCATCGATCTACTTGACGAAATCGAAGTGAAAACCGGTGAGGAAGACGAAGAATAAATGTTTTCTTGCTTCTGTTTTTTTGGCACTGCATGTTTCTATTTTTCACTTGCTATATGCTTCTCTTTTTTAATCAAATTTGGCTTCAAAACTGGACGCCTCAACACAGGAAAAACACGATATATCAATAAATGATAACTTTATGAACTCTTCAAACTAAATTTCAGCACACAAATGAACAAATTCAAAGCAAAAAAGTTTAATTCGCTGACCAGAAATACGCAGCAAAAGAAAAATACGTCGGTTTTCATGCGCGGCCTACTGCGAACTGCGATCCCTCGCTTGAAAAAATGATCATTGCTTGTTCGAAATCAGTAAGGCGTTGCACAGTGGTCCACAGAATGCAAATTTAGGTGGAATGATATGTTTTGAGCCTGAAATTGAAACTTTAGACTAAAAGACTTTTCTACAAAGTTGTTCCTTATAGTTAGGCCCTCATTTTTATGACAATGAATTCTAGGATGGTTCCTATTATCATTAAAATCAAAAATCTAACCTTTTTTGTTTGAATAAATTAAGGTATACATTTTTCGGCAAAGTTATAGCTGAGCTAATTTCAGGCAACTTGTTGAAAATAACTTTTTTGTATCTCTTAAATTGGCCGATTTAGAGCTATTTTCTTGAATTGAGTTAGAGTGGCTCTTAAAAAACAGTTGTTTTGCTCTTCCAGAGTTTCTATTTAACCGTAGTTTAATGAAACAAACAAAAATGCTACAGACCCAACTCCCCTAGCCCCCATCCAGTATTTTTTTCGCTACGCCAATGGAAATTACTTCATTTTTTGAAAGACATTCTGTTTGAAGCTCCACGTATGTTCCGTAGAGCTCCGTTTGTGTGGAGGTTAGCCTTAATGAAATGACATCAAGCATTTCTGCGGCCTTTCTCAAATAGGAATTATTCATGCCTTCGTCAAATGACTACCCAAATTGATATCATCCATTCGAAGTGTCTTTTCTCATCTTAAGCAAATATCTTCAACTGAATTTGAAAAGCTGCAGTGATATTAAACTTTCGTTGATCCACAATAAACTGGCAACTATCACAGAAGGGCATCATTTTATTTTATTTAATCAGTAAACTCCGTTAGACTTATATTACATATGCTCTCTGATGAAATCGACAAACTCAGAAACACGAGTATAGACTGTCGGATAACCATTGAACGCACATCCATAGCCCCAGGACACGACTCCGATGACTTCGTTGTTCAACACCAATGGACCACCTGAGTCGCCTTGGCAGGCATCGATTCCGGCGGCACCGGCACACAGGTGGAATGGCCAGATCGATCCAAAGTTCTGATAAGCTACGCTGCACATGGCGTTATCCACAATAGGCACCGACACCTGCTGTAGGTGGTTAGTACTGGGTCCTTGGTACTGAAATAGTCACAGTGAGATTATTTGGATTCCTGGACAAACTCAACTTCATTTGCATACATAGAGTGATCCCCATCCAGCAATGGATGCAATGGTTCCGTGAGAAACCTTCAGATTGTTGTTGGGCAAAGCAATCGGTGCAACCATTTCTCCTAGAACCAAATTCACCGCCAACTTCAGGACAGAAATGTCCCACTCCAAAGTCCAATCATCATAATTTGGGTGAATAATTAGCTCGCCAACGGTAATCAGCTGACCTCCCTCGTTACGCAGCGTTGATCCGACACGAATTGAAAAATCGGTAGCTTCTGCATTTGTACTGTGAAGAAACGAACACGTGGCGAATGAGTTCCACACATTACTCGATATTATTTTGCCCAGTTATTGTAGGTAAAACTCACTAGTAGACGCAGTGGGCCGCTGTCAACACCGTACTGATACTGAGAATCGATCCCCCACAGGTATGAGTACCAAGTCGGCGGAGCGAAACCTGATAAGGATGCTGGTCAATGGTCGTATCCTGGCCACCAACGATCCGCGTTTCGGTTCGGGGCGCCGCAAGGACGCTGGCCAGCACCGAAATTAGAAACACTACAGACACTACCGATTTCATCTTCACTCACTCACTCCACTGGCCCACTTCGACGGCACTACTGAACTCGAAGATGTACTAGTTTGGAGGTTTTATATCACCCTGTATTGGCCGTGTTTAGCAGTGATGGTTGGTTTCTCCCGCTGGTATTGATTTGAAGTGATAAGATCTCGATGAACTGATGCCATATGTCGGAACGTGACGGATACAAGTGTAATTGAGATTGTTTTGAAGAAACGCTTTTTATCATATGTAGAAGGGAAACGCTCGAATGTTAAACAGGCAACAGGCGAGATAAACGGTTGAGAACTGAAAACGTTGACGGTCAGCGAGATAGGGCTCTTGATACTAATTAGCAAATTGGGAAAATGAGTCAATGGTGTCGTGTAGAAATACTCTCTGCATCTCAATGCTTACGAGAGCACTTTTGACCATTCGTCGAAGATTTTAAATATTTTACCTCTCTGAACCCGAATATGAATTTAGATTTTATGTGACACGATCTGTTCCCGTCATGCACATGAGCTCTCTCTATTGTGGTTAGTCGTGATATATTCACAACAAGGTTGACAAACATAATAAACAATGTTTGTTGTCAACCTTGTAGTGAATAGTGCCTTGCCCAACCACAATATAGAGCGAGCGAGAATATGTGCCTCCCACCAGTACCCGTACGTCAAAACTAGCACCGTACCTTAAAGTTGCTAACTAAGCGACATGTGCAAAGAATTCATATATTGAGTAAACATTTATTCTTTATTCTTTATTGGGAGCAATGAAAAGGCCATTTGAGTGGAAATTTTTTTTTCCTCAAATGGGCATAAAACCTCCTCATATTTTTGCATCAACAGAACAACAGTATTAACAACAATCAATACGAAACTAACGATTTTTAAATTAACTCACTACTTGACTAGCCTATTGGTCCCAAGCAAACGATTAACGTAGCCCATTCTAGTCGAAATTCTAGTACTACGCAATGTTTGTTTTGATTCGCTATGAAAGTTTGACGGATAAAATGAGGGGTTAATGGATTTTTTGAGGGGTGAATCGATTAGCTTAGGACCGAAGAGAGTACCAGAGCTGAGCCAAAAAGTTGAGCATGTTATTTCGGGACCTTCTAGTCTTAGAGTTACCTCTATGGTATTAACTTAGGACTAAACAAAATATCACCCTATTCTATTTCTTACTTCGACCTATACATTTACTAATTCACGGAACCTATTTTTATTAATTGAACGTGACAGATGAAAGTCAAAGACATCCCGACCAGCCATTCGTGAAACTTCGTTAAAGTTCTTATGCAAAAATAAAGATTTATGTCGATAATTCTTTGCCTTGAAATTTCTTTGATTGCGATACGTATATTTAAAAATATTTATTGATCGATACTGACATTTCAGAAAATTTCTTTATCGGTAGTATGATAGAAATCTATAAAGGTGCCATAATAAATTTCGTCCAATTTCGATACATCGCAAGGGCTTGAGCTTTCTTATAGATATTATTATTATTATTTAACTTTATTAATGAGGCTTTCAGCCTTGGGCTGGTTCGCCTCCAGTTTCTTATAGATATTAATCTAAAACTATTTAAATTCTTATACCATCGTACGGTAACTGATGATGGTTGGACCTATTTAGGCCGGTTTCACACGACGTCAACATTCATGTCGTATTTTTTTTTATGAATTCAACATATAATTATGAAAAATGCGTGATTAGGGGAAAGATCTACCTTTCTTGTTTCTAATGATAACATACAAAGTTGAATATTATGAACAAAAGATTTTATAAAACGTTTTTATTCAGCAAAGAATTATGATGTTGGTTGGACCTATACTGATCTTGGTTGGACCTAAAAAATGATGATGGTTGGACCTATTTTTGCAAATGCTAGTTTAGGCCATATTTGTTCAAAAACTTTGTTTAGAACTTATTGGTATCATGAAAAAAACCCTTTTTATACAGTTTTTTTTTTTTATGAATTTGCTATTGAAAGCTATCGAATATTTTTGGAATCGGTCAACTGGTTCCGAAGATATGGCCGGTACAAGTTACAGGGTATATGGAACATGGACCTAATTTTGACATGGAAGGAATAAAACCTATCATGCGACACTTCACATTACTTCCAAATTCGATAACAAGATCAATAACAAAATTGAGTACATTGGACCACATGATGACGAGCTAATGCGTGGAAAGTGAAATGTTCTGAAAACACATTGAAACTCAATTGTTTTGAAGTTTTTTTTCAATAAAACACCCATGCAAATTGAAGAAAAAGAGTTTTTATGATAGTAAAGTGATCGTTGAAAAAAAAATTAGTGAAGATTGACTAAACTAGCGATTGAAAAAATAGGTCCAACCATCATCAGTTTTTGGATAGTGTAGGGTTCTTGGTGAAATACATTCATAATTTTAAGCAAGCACACCTTATACATTAATCTTGTGAGAGTCTTGAATTCGCTATACCTGCGAATACGGATCCTTGGTGATAGAGGGCTGATTGGATGGGAGAGTGAAGAAGACTGCGAGGGAGAAAGGAGTTGGAAATTATCTGGGAAAGAAAGGATTAGTTTTGTCTGCGGGATCGAGAAGTTTGAGAAGGCAAAACCCTATATTCTGGCGACGAGGATTAAGCGGATGATTGAAAGTAAGTATAATTAAAAAAAAAGCAATTCAAATACTTCTATTTTGCGAAATTTTTAGTATGGAAAGAGGGCTGAGGCTGGATCGCATGCGGAAAGTTGTTCTTTGAAAAAAGATGGTGGACACGTGCATTAGAACGACTGTTTTCAAGAAAAAAAAAAAAACAAATTTTTTCTGCGTTCATCTGGCATGAGAAGAGGTTTTGACTGTGACGGGATGCCGGTTGATGGCCATAATGGCTGGATGTGATTTGACTGTGGCGGGTTGCCGGTCGATGGCCAGAGCCAGAATGGCTTGATGTGTTTGACCGTGGCGGGTTGCCGGTCGAGGTTAAATGTGCTTTGACCGTGGCGGGTTGCCGGTCGAAGGCTGAATGGCTTGATGTTTCTGACCGTGGCGGGTTGCCGGTCGAGGCTAAACGTGTTTTGACCGTGGCGGGTGGCCGGTTGATGGCCTTAATGGCTGGATGTGATTTGACTGTGGCGGGTTTTCCGACCAAAGTGTGAGTAGTTATGGTAAATGTTCATGGGAAGCGGGAATGATGATGAAACTTCGAGTAGAGATACAGTAGACGTTTTTTTTTTAATATTTGCAGATGGATGAAAGTCGTGCTTTGCCCATGTTCAAATGCGAGCAGATCGAGAGTGGAAGGCTAGCTAAGGAATGGCAAGAGTGGGAAGGCGCTTTAGAATGCTATTTTGATTCATACCAAATCACAGATCAAAAGTTAATGCGTGCTAAAATGCTTCATTTGGGTGGACCTCAGTTGCAGAAAGTTTTCAGGAGTCTCGAAGGAACTGAAGATTTTCCCGTCGTCTTGTTCATAAAACCGTGGTACAGTAAAGCAGTGGAACGACTGGATGCGTTTTTTAAGCCGCGTAGACAGGACGTTCTAGAGAGACATAAACTCCGAAACATGAAGCAGGGCATTAACGAACGATTCTCACAGTTCATCCTACGCTTACGTCAGCAGCTCGCCGATTGTGGACTGGAGAAGTTTTCTCAAGAAGTACGTGCAGCAGTTGAAGAGATGATGTTAACTGATGTCATCGTGGAAGGGTGTTTGTCGCAAGAGCTTCGACGTAGAATCTTGCAGAAGGATCAGTCTCTCGCCGACATCGAAGCCTTGGGAGCATCGCTGGAGAGTGTTCGGTCTCAAGAGAAGGAAATAAGTGCCGGATCATCGCGCCTGGAACCAGGATCATTTGAAGTACGTAAAATTCAGAAATTTGACTCAAACAAACTGGCTGGAAACAAGGAACGGATTCTCGGTAGATTCCACGACAACGCGATTTTTAAAGGAGGTAATTCAACGATCTGTTTTTCCTGTGGCCAGCGGGGACACATATCGAAGAACTTGTCTTGCCCGGCAAAAGGGAAAATGTGTCGCCGCTGTGAGCGGCCTGGTCATTTTGAGAAAGTGTGCCGGAAACGTCCAAGAGAGTACAGATCTTCAAATCATACTGGTAAAGTCCAAACAATTGACTCAGTCCCGGAGGGAGAAAGTATTGCTGTCAATAAAACTGAACCGTCATCGGAGACACAGGATAAGAAGGTGTACTATACGTTTCATCTCGGAAACAGTTGCAACGTGATTGACTGTGCTATCGGTGGCGTAGAAATGAAAATGTTCGTCGATTCTGGGTCCGACGCTAATCTGATCACTGCAGATTCCTGGAAAATGTTGAAATCCAAAAATGTTGTCGTGCAACATAGCCAGAAGGGCAGTAGTAAAATATTGAAGGCTTATGGCAGCCAAAATCCATTGAAAATCCTGGGAATCTTCATTGCCACCATTGTCGTTGGTGGACGAAAGGTTCAGGCCGAATTTTTCGTTGTTTTTAACGGCCAACGAAACCTTCTTGGAGACACAACATCGAAAGAACTTGGTGTCCTCAAAGTCGGGTTGGACATTAACCGTATTGCTTATGAAAACCACCTGAATTTTGTAGTTTTTCCAAAGATTAAGGACGTTCTGATTCATATTCAGATGGATCCGGAAGCTGTTCCGATTTTCCAACCACTTCGTCGTATTCCTATTCCACTTGAGGATGCCGTGAATAAGAAATTGGATGATCTATTAGAAAAAGACATCATTGAGAAGAAGACCGGGCCGGCAACTTGGGTTTCCCCCTTGGTCGTGGCGAACAAGGCTAATGGTGAAATCAGGCTATGTGTTGACCTCCGTCGGGTAAATCAAGCAGTAATCCGCGAGCGACATCCGATGCCAGTAATAGAAGACATATTGGCTAAAGTTGGCAGAGGTAGTATATGGAGTACTCTTGACGTCAAAGATGCTTTTTTCTTATTGGAATTGGATGAAGCCTCCAGAGACATCGTGACTTTTATATCACACCGAGGGCTATATAGATTCAAGCGTTTGCCATTCGGCCTTATTTCTGCACCGGAAATCTTCCAGCGGACTATGGATGAGATTTTTGCTGACTGCGATGGGGCATATTGGTATCTTGACGACGTGGGTGTCGAGGGACGTACCATTGATGAGCATGACT